TGTAGCTTGCCAAGGTATTAACCGAGTCTTATTCACCATCTCTACAAGCAATTTGTATGCGCCATCTATTCTCTTCTGACTAACAAAACCTTTTATTAACACATCCAAGAGATCAGCATCCGCATCACAATTTTTTTCCACCATCTTTGCAAAATAAAACAATGCCTTATCGACTTCATTAGCCGCACAATGCCCTTGTATCAGAATGGTCCAAGTTTTGAGATCGGGAATACATTCTTGTGCTTCCATCACATCCAGCACCTTATAGGCTTCTTCAAGTCTCCCTGTTTTACAAAGTCCAAAAATCAGTTGGCTGTAGGTCAAGTTATCAGGTTCATACCCTGCATTTCTCATCGCCTCCATTATCTTTTCTGCTTCTCCAAATCTCCCCACACTCGTCAGAGACCTATGAATCCCATCATAAACAGTCTTTGAAAGGGAATGCCCTGCTGCCTCATACTTCTTCACAACTCTAAACACCAAGTCCAAATCTGGACTCCTGTCTGCAGCAATGGTTCTTAGAAGCAAGCTGCAATCCTGAACGGAAAGCTTAAACGGCCCATCCATCATAAGCTCATAAAGCTCCACTGCATCCTTTAGCATCTTACTCTTCTGAAACCTCCTCGAAACTTTTATGTATGTATCAAGATCCATCTCATGACCTGCACCCTTCATTTCCTTCACCATACTCCAAAAATCCTCAATTGAAGCATCTTGACCAAGAACCCTAACAACTGCATTATAAGCAACACTATTGTGTTCAAAACCAAATCTTCCACTAACCCACTTAAAAAAACTCAAAGCTTTCGAAGGACATCCTCGAAGTTCCTTCAAAACCCTTAACACAAAATTCTCATGCATCGAAATTTCCATTCCCCCCAATTTTTTCTCAACCTCATGGCTCCAATTCGACCCCAAAATGACTTTAACCAACTCCTTCACCACTTCATCCATGGTATTTTCTTTAACCATCCTCTTATAGAAATGAGTCAAAGCCGTGGCATCACTTGCCATCTTCGAACTTTTAAAATCTCCAAGAATAGTTTCATATGTCTCCTCATCAATATAAAACCCCTGTTCTTTCATCTTAGTAATGGTAACCCAAAAATGCTTCATTGAATCTTTGTTAGCAAAAATTCTAAGCATTAAGCTATACACAGCAGAACTGGGTTTAAACCCATTTTTGTCAGTGACCCAATTGAAGAACCCAGAGGCCTTTTGTGGATCTTTATCTAGTTTCTTCAAGATATATATAACAGTCTCATGGGTCAGTTTAGGGTTTGATTCCGATAACTCTTTTTCTAATTGTTTTGACCAATCGTTAGATAATACAAGCTCTATAGTCGGTTCTGGTGTTGATGAAAATAACAGTTTTTGATGGGTATTTAGAAAAGTTGAAGTGTGAGGTTGTGTAATGTGAGAAGAAAAGTGGGAGAACTGAGTTGTTACCTGAGGATAGAGAAAGTTCGTTCTGGGTAGCTGAGTTGAGTGTAGCGAGTTGGCGAGTCTGAGAGAACTGATTATTCTCTTTGCTCGATGCATGACCGCTTGTGGAGACTCTCTCTCAATCTCAGATGTTCCAAAACTTCCGATGGAAATGAGAGCTCTCTCAGAAAAAGGGTTTTTCGAGGGTTTAGCTGAAAGTTTGGGGTTAATCTCATTTTGCATCCTAAAAGATTGTTTAAATCTTAATTTATACCCTCAAATATCAAAAATCTCAATTTACACCCTCAAAGATAGAAATTTGTATCAATGTGCATCCTCAAAGATAAAAAATCTCAATTTGTACCCTCAAAGATAGAAATTTGTATCAATGTGCACCTAAAATTAAATTGATAAATTATATCTAGATCCCCTCATGTTTGTCACTTAATCATTTGAACTCCTTCACATTTAGAATATTTCTCTTACATCTCATGACGTTTGTGCATGTGTAACACATAACCACTTTTCTTTGATATCTGTTAATATAATCATTAAAAAATATAATTTTATCCTAATAAAAAATTATAATTTCATATTATCTTTTATTTTGTAGATTCGATATACTCTAAATTTAAAAATCAAGCTTACCATTTGAATGTCTAATAAAATGTAGATATTTATATAAAAGGTAATATGAAAAATATTATATAAATATTTACATTTTATTAGACATTCAAATGGTAAACTAGATTTTGAACTTTAGAATATATTAAACCCATAAAATAAAGGGTAATATGAAATTATAATTTTTTATTATGATAAAATTATATTTTTTAACGGTTATATTAATAGATATCAATGAAAATGGGTTAAGTGTTATACGTGCACAAATGTCATTAGATGTAGGAGTAATATTCTAAATGTGAAAAGGTCTAAATGATTAAGTGACAAGTATGAGGGGATCTAGGTATAATTTATCAATTTAGTTTTTAGGTGCACATTGATATAAATTTCTATTTTTGAGGGTGTAAATTGAGATTTTTGATCTTTGGAGATGCACATTGATACAAATTTTTATCTTTGAGGGTATAAATTAAAATTTTTGATCTTTGAAGGTGTAAATTGAGATTCGAACAATCTTTCGAGGTACAAAATGAGATTAACCCAAAAGTTTGGGATGTAGTCTGAAACCGTACCCATACCCGAACATAAACCGTACCCAAGTCACCCGAATTTGCCGCCTACCCGAATATTACTCTAAGATGTAGTATGTCAATGGAGGATTTTAATCGGAATTCAAGTTCATTTAATCTGATATAAAAGATATTTTAGTTGAATTTGATCAAGTTTTTTTAAATGAATTTGAATTTAAAAACATGTAAATCCGATTCGATAAGAATTAGATTCAATATATATATATATATATATATATATATATATATATATATAGAGAGAGAGAAAAATTATTAATGAGCTTGATATGAAATAAAATAAAAATAATTGAATAGAATGATTGGTTGATTTTTTAAAATTATTAAATTTTGTTGAAATCCAAACTTTCAAACTGGATCGGATAATCAAATTGAATATCCAATTATTAACCAATGTAGATATAAATTAAGATTTTAAAATCCATCAAGTAAACGAATTTAAATTTACGTATCAGATTCAAATTTAGACAGATAAAAATTCAATCTATTGACAGTCCTACCAGGAGGTCAATATATGGGTCTTGTTGTCCGAATCGTTCTAGGTGGAACAGGCCGACCTTGGGCCAAGTCACATTCCAAAAAATGATCGTGTCATGTCAGGTTACACATCATGACATCTAATACCCAATATACATGTTTATAATTCATACTCATATACAAGTTTAAGTCAATAAATAATGAGCTCATTTACATTATATTAAGAAATTTTTCATTCTTTTTCTATCCGATTAAAATCCTTGCACATAAAATACATAATACCACCTAACCCATAACATGTAACTCAATGTAGATATAGTCCAGGTCGAAATTTTACATTTACCATATTGCCAAAATGTAATGTATAATTCCTTCCCAATCTTTCCTAAACATGTTCCATGTGTTCATGAGATTAGGCCTATTTTTTCACTGAGCCTCACTTGCACTGACTACCTTGGAAGAACACTTCTTGGGCTTCTCATCTGTCAATTGGGGAGTTAATAGCACTGGTTGAAGCAGAAGAAGAAACTTGTTGGTTTTGTTTCCATCTGGGATCTGGGGGTCACCCCCATGTCTTCTCGAACTGCCATCAAAGAGCGCGTACCAGGAGATTCTGGTGGAAAGACAGCGTTCTCAGATGCAAAAACTCGAGAAGGAATCATGGGTTCAGGAGGCAAGATGGCAGAAAGATAATGAAGGAGCATCTGTACAATTTGGCTGAAGTTGGGACGAGCATTTGGATCCTCATTCCAACATGAACTCAGAATCGTAGCCAAATCTTCCGGGAGTTTTTCCAGGCCAGGCCTTACATTCTGAATCACCCAACAGAAAAACCCCAACAATCGACGATTAAATACAATGAAAAACTTAGGCAGACAACTATATCGAGCTAATTCAAGAAGCTATTATATCAGAGAGAGGAGAAGGAAATCATTACTTTAAAGGCCGCTGCATAGGCAGCCTGTAAATTTGACATGCCTTCAAATGGCAGCTTGTTGTGTAGGAGTTCCCACAAGACTATGGCAAAGCTATATGCATCTACTTTGTTGTTGTAATGCTGCTTCTCTCCACGCCTTAATGTAACAGTACTGTATAACTACCACCACATAGCAGGCCAATCAGTAGATACAGAATGACAGGTTGTGTTGTGTGAAGGGTATAAAAGAATTTTACGGAAAGAGAGGAAAAAATTTACGATACCTCAGGAGCCATCCAGCGGTATGTCCCTGTTTCAGCAGTCATCATCTCTGTTAATGATTCTTCTCTGGCTAAACCAAAATCCACCAGTTTGACTGTTTTCTGGTCCGCTGTCAAGATTAAGTTTTCTGCAAAATTATGAATCCAACATCAGAACCTTTTCCCCATGGCAACTTTATATATACAATAACAATCATCTTTGGAAAGGTTGCTCGCAATGACTTTGATTCAAACTTGTCAGATCCTCAGTTTCTTTTTCCTTTCTTTTCTATTTTTTTGTTTGGTCCAGAGAGGATTTGAAGCCACCACAGAGGGAGGGAGAGTGATCCTTTTGGAGGCCACCCAGGATAGGTGTGTGATGTGTATCATCATCGGTTTCACATGTGGATTTAGTATCTATTGGCAACAATTTTAATTCAAATTCAAAGTCCCAGAAATGATGCTACAAGGAACAACAGAAATAGGGATGAAATAAAGATGAAATGTGAATATTGTAAGATAGCTCATTTGGAAAGACCCCGATATGTCCTGAAACAAAAAACCTCTTAGCTAAATTAAAGAGCTCCAATCGACTTAAGAATGAAAAAGAAAAATGCCAAAAAGGCTTGTTAGCCGCAGAACATGAACCAAGCTATATTTCTACATCATCTCTAGAAGAGTGGTCCAGCCCGGTAAATATCAATGGTGACGTAATCAGATATCTACAACTGTAGTTGCATCGGAAATGACTATGTTTTTCAGGAAACATAACCCTGTAGGAACAATATATAAAAATGTTCAGAAACGTCGTAATTCATAAGCTCCTGAAATGCTTCAGAGTGTCATATGAACCAAGGTAAGAACCTGTGCGTGCAAGATCCTGCACAATATAAAAAACGAGAACAAATCTCTCTCTTGGTGAACTCGAGTGAGCCGGTTGAGTGACCAAACACGCTGCTTGGGACAGCCTGCAAGGTACGGTGGTAACCTGGAACGGCAACGGGAGACCCTGGGAAAGGAAGAACGATCCAGTAGGGCTGAAAGAAGTTCCTGGAACAAAGAATAACAAATTAGAAGGGCGCCGGAGTGTTTTCCGGCGTATCCCCTCCGACGATCTAGTCAGTCTTTGAAAAAGAGAGTGGAAGGAGAAAACACTGAGAATGTATTGTCGTAGAGAGTTTGTTGTTGCATATCCGCTTTTCCTTTTGCAAGGAGTATTTATACCTTAAAAGCTCATGATTGCTGTCAGTGTGGTCAGTAGGTGATCATTAGGCACAGGTAGCGTGCGCATTGATTCTGATGAGGAATGTCTTCTCTAATTAACTGCTCGGGGTTCCGAGCAATCAATGCTGGGTCATCGGGATGCCGACGGTACAATGTGCTCCTCTCGGGGAGGATGCAATAAATGCTCTGTATTATGAGCATTTATTGCCTTTCATTTCCGAACCTTACCGCATTGAATGCGGTCTCATCAAGGGAATGGTGCAATTAATTGTTTGCTTTCCCAAGTCGCGTGTCAGCAACGGCATGTGGTTTGTCTGTCTTTGATGTGATATCATATGCCACGCGTCCATCCCCTATTGGCTGTGACCTCTGTATTTCAGTACGTTCTGACATTACTTGTGTAAGACGAGGTCATGATGAATAGCCTAGACTAGCCTAGGCTAATGACCTGTACGTCAATAGCTTATCCTGGAGTAGAGGAAGCGTCCAGGACGGGTACCTCTCGGCACCGAAAAAAGGCTCATCTCGGGGACCGAGGGAGGTATGCCGACCGAGGTACATATCAGACCGAGGCCACGTGTCAATTGTAAAATATACTGAATGTATGATCCTATATGACGGTACCTCGGGGCGAGGACATTCGTGCGCCGATGGTGTTTGATCTTAGCAACAGTGTTTTAGTAAAACTGAGGACACGTGTCTTCATCATAGGGCATTTCAGAAAAGTCCCATCAGAACCCATGACCAGGCCTTGAGCCCAGATGTTTGGTTGTCTGATGAGTTTCTTATCTCAATGTACCCAATATTTGAGGATCAATATATGATACGATTTCTAGTCTGTATTATTTTTGCCAGAGACTCGTTGGTTTATAATGGGTTTTGTGTGTGAGTGTGAGCAGTGGCCTTGATAATCATTGGTCTTGATCTTCTTAGTAAATTTCTTCCTTTCGTTGCCCATGGATATAGGTTTGAAAATGTCCAACCGTGTAAATCGTAGTGTTTCCTTGTTTCTGGTTGTCGTTTTTGTGTGATTGCCTAATTTTGTGTTTGGATTATGTTGGTTTAAGCATTGGTTTGTTAGATTCCGGGTTAACAAAACCAAAGGAAACCAAGAGAACTATGGTTCATTTTTGGTTCAAAAAACCTACCCATCTTTTTCACAACGATCGAGCAATCACAAAGTTGGAAATAGAGGACATACCTGGCTTTAAATCCCGATGAATGATCCCATGAGAGTGCAAACATTCCATTGCACGAGCAATGTCAAGTGCAAAACCAACTGCAACATGTGTATCCAAGCACCTCGGACGCAAGTTTAGCAGATATTTACGCAATGTCCCACCTACCAAAAGCTCAGTAACTATCACCATCACAGGTTCCTTACAGGCACCAATATACTGTTGGTACACAATAACACAGTTACCTCTGTTAGATATATACACAAGTCCATATTCCAAAATTCATAAGAGATGCATAACTGGCAACAAACACATAAAACTATTGCCTATTGGAATCAAAGCTAACCTTCGCCAAGTTTTTGTGTTGAACTCTAGACAACATAGCAACCTCTCGCTCAAAACGAGCCTCTCTCTTGGCAATTTCCTCTTGGGTGTCTCCTCTATGGACAATTTTAATAGCAACATTCTGATTTTTATACCTGAAGGCATAAATAGTGAGATAACTCAAACAGAACTAGATTCAAATTTCCAATCTGAATACCCTGGCACAATTCCTGGTGAAGATTTAAACTCTAGTTCATTCAAGAAAATGCATTTACCTAGTAGTGCCCATCAAGAACTGGGAGTTTTCGATATTAACACTTCAAATTTTCATATAAACTCCAACAACAATCGAAAACAGAACAAGAAACATCAAAATTCACAAAGAAAATCCTAAAAAGCATGACTTACTTTCCTTCGTACACTTTGGCATGTGCTCCCTCTCCAATTTTGGGTCCCACAAGAAGATGCTGAGGATCAATCAGCCACTTAACATCCAATCCAAACTCATCTACTGAATAAAAAAGATTCTCTGGTTCCATCTTTCTCTTTAAAGTGTTTAACCAACCATAGTACCCATCAACCAATTTTCACTTGGTAAACAAAGACACGAATTCACAATATAGAATGCATTGTAGAGCTCTGCTTACTGTTCTTCAAGCTGCATGGATAAGCTGACATGAAACAGAGGAATCTGAAAGTACATGCTTTGTACTCTGTTGAAGTGGTACCATGGCAATCTTCCCAACGCCACCACATCTCAAAAATCATGGCCCAAGGATCAAAACTCCCAGTTGAGGAGGCAAAAGTTTATAGCCCCACATGTTGTGGAGAGAGAGAGAGAGAGGCTCGACTTAAAGCTCAAAACCCAAGAAGTGTTGAGAAATTAACGAGGAGCAGAGCCAAATCCCCAAAAAGGGGAACAGGGGGGAGGGAATCAAACAAGAAGACTTTCAATTGAAGATCAAAATTTGCGATAAAATTCTCAAACCCAATTCGAAGTTATATTAAACTAGTGATGGGTCTGAGTTTATTTTAATCTTTTTAAATACAGAACCTTACTCAGTCACTCTTGATCTACAGACAAAATCATTGAAGGGTTTCAGTCACTGTTTCATCAATCAGAAATTAAAATAAATAAACAAATGAGTAAATAAGGAGAGAGAGAGAGATATTTTATGAACATTGCAATAAATAGTGTGGGAGCCATATAAAGTAATCAGTTGCACATGGCAACTGATCTTGTCAACATGGGGATGTAGTGATGACAAAGCCCCGCTCAGTGAGAAATGCCTGGACAAGTACCTACCTACCCTACCTTTCTTGAAGTGCACCTCCATTAATTCAGCAAAACGCTATAAGTCTAGGAGTCTAGAGGTTTTAGCCCCCTAGTAAACATTTCATAAGTATAAACTCATGTAGATTATTTGCAGCATATTACTGTCACAGTCAAAGCAGAATACTCTGAAAGCTAACAATCACCATATGATATCAACAATAAAGAGGCGAAAAAACACAAAGCAAGACACTGTTTTTTTTTTTTTGGGTCATTAAGCCCTTATCACTGGGCATTTTCTCACCTCAACAAAGCGGGACAATTTTGGTGATTAGACTTTGATCAAAAGGAATGTGCTGATCTGGAGTGTAAAAGCTTCTTATTGTAAATAGCTGTTCTCACACACACACACACACACACTCATGTTGGATAACAGAAAGCTAGATTAAGTCTCTGCAAAAGTTTATCCACGATCAATCACAGCAAAGAGGCTTTGGGTTGATGCAATGGGTTTGCATCCTAAATTACACCATCCAAATTTCCGAAATTACAGCATCCTAAAGGATTTTTTTCAGCGACACCCATTTTTTAACAGTCTAATTAGACTGGTTAAGATCGCTGCTCTGACAAAGTTAAGTCCAGCTAGGGTTGGTTGTGCATACAATTGACGCCCTTTCAAGCTAACAATTTTAGTATTCGAGTTGTGCATTAGCCCTCGCCAGGATCATATCCCTTGCATCTGCTACATCGAAGTACTTCATACTGGAGCAATAAAACAACATGGAAAGCCATTCGTGCCCAAATATTGAGCCCAGCAAAAACCAGAATACACAGAATAACAAAGATAACTAGTAAATATAGGAACAGGGATAAGATAAGAGCCAATATCAGCAGTCTACGGCATACTAAGGCCATTAACTTAAATATGTAAACAAAGACACTGAACAAGTTCGAAGCACTAACGCTTCACTGGTTTCGCAACATAGATAAGCTAAAGTACGCCCAAGGAACTTCAGAAAACCAAAACGACTTCATAAAGTTTAATGCTACACTGCATTTATTTAGAGCATATACTATCCATATAGCTACTATAAGATTCTTAAACTATGCCTTCTCTCCAGCAATAAGATCCATGACCACACGTTTGATACTCCCATTGTTCTTCTTCAGCAGCTTCTTGTTCATCTCCTTGTCAAAGAACCCCTGCACCCACAAGTCACATTTTCGACACTAAATGAATTGATTGTTCCAATTTGAGCCATATTAGGACAATCGAAGATACAGCAAACAGCAGAAACAAGATATAAAATTGACTTACCATCTCCTGCAACTCCTCGAGGATAGGATCCCATTCAGAAGCACCACAAAGATCGTCCACTGACTGCTCCAAATCATACTCATTTGCCCTCAATACCTCCTTGTTCAAATCAACCTGCCTGAAACCCATCTCCTCGAGTTCCCTAAGGAGTGTCTGCTCAACATTGTTTTCACCAGCCATTGGAGCAGACGCCTGTGCATCTTTAGCAGGGGATGGTGCAGACAAAGGCACAACTGGTGCTTCAGAAAGATCAATAATGGGATACGAAACAGACGATGAAGGCTGAGGATGAACCGGGCTTGGTATACCACCACCAACCAGTAAAGTATCATTGATTGGGAAATTCAGCTCCTGTTCTTTATTTGGGTTTGCATTAACTATTGGCACCACTAATTCTGTGACCCTGTTATTAGAGTTTACGGGCTCAGGAAGGTTGTCCTCAGCCTTGGGCTCAACATTCACACTTACAATTTCAGGGCCTGTGGCACCGTTGCCCACAGGAGGCAAATTTAGGTTCAAGCCTTGAAAGCTTTCACAGGTGGAATCCTTCAATGAAGCATCAACCTACATGAAAAAGATAAGAATTACTACACGAGAGCATAATTCTTAGCATATGTGAACAACTGTAGCATAGATATGCCGATATCACATGGTGGGTAACCTGGATGAGAACCCAAACACGTTGCCCAAACTTTTGGCCGGATGGTGAGGCCATCCTCCAGTATGAGATGTACCGACCAGGAAATTGGGGAGCAGTAAAATCAACTGCAATGTCAAGCTCCATGTCCACAGGCAAACCATCTGCAGTAATCTGGCATCATATGAAAGCGTTAATCAAATCTCAACAATGAGAGAAAACTTGACCCAATCAATCAAGAAATAGGAGCCCATGCACAGGCATACATGCAACAAACTATATAGAGAATATTAGCATTTAAATATGCACCTCTACCTGAAGAGAAAATGTATTGCTTAATCTATCTCCCCCAATCCAAACGAGTTGGGTTCCCTCAGGCCACATGATAGTGCCATTGTTCCTCATCCGCCAAATCTTGGTAAATGGGGTTGATGGGGACATGATTGTACCATCAAAGACATTCACATCCTGAATGAAGCGACTGTCAAGCTTAGGGCGATTTTGTTTCATTCCACAACCTCGCAATACCTGTGGTATGGTCGGAGGACGCACCCGAGAATGATGCAACTGCACAAAGAATGGAAATCAATATAACAATTAGGACGAAGGTATATAATATTGAACTGAAGGAACAATGCTACCAAAAAAGTGGACTAATTATAAATCAACATACAGGGTGATCATACAACCCCTTGAAAGAAAAGGGATGCCCGTAAGTCATAGGACGGTCCATTCTGATGTAATCGACACCATTTCCCATTTCTGCAAAGCAGATGCTGCACAGATCGTAATCCTCCTTTCTGTAGAAACAAAATGAGACAATTTAAATATACCCTGAAAATATATTATACAGCTAAACAACAGAAATTCCATAGATTCCTACACTTTGGACTTGAACCGAGGTCCGGTTATTGGATGAACCCCACAACCATCACAACGAACACCTCTGTGAAAAATGATGCCCATGCCATCACTATGGTTATACCTCCTTTTAAACGAGACCATACGAGGATCAGATTGAGAGGGAGGCAGAAACAAGTCACTTGCTAAAGGCATCCCTGAAAAAGGGCACTCATTCATAGGATTCTGACCAGCACGTGATGTAGAAGAGTTCCCAAAATCACTACCACATTTGATGTTCACACCGCCACGCAAATCTTTGTTCAGGGAATCTCTGCTTGAATGCTTCGGAAAATCATGATAGGAACCAGCAAACTTTTGTCCAAGACGACCTTCATTAGACTTATTAATCTCATTATTTTTGTCACCAGCAGGAGCTTTAGTAGCACCCGGCATACCATTCTCAAAGGCAAGAGCATCAGACTTCCCATTTGAATGAAATTCAGCTAGCTTTTTGACCTTCAACTTGTTGTTTCCAGAAGGAACATAAAGGACCTCCTCCATGTTGTTACCAGCAGCAACAGGAAATGTGTCAGGTGCAGGATTTGAAGATGCACTTCCAAACAGATAATTATCCCCAGGGAGGCCACCATTAAGATTCAAGTAACCAGTGGATGGTGTAGGGTCCACACTAGGGGTCTGCATAACTGCTGCCTCCACACCTCTGGCTGTGTTTTCAACTTCCACCTTATTGTTTTCCACAGTTGGCTGTTGAGATTTAGTATTGGGCAACACCTGATTATTTGCCAAAGTTGGCGCCTCGGCTTTAGCACTTGGCAACACCTCTGATGTGACCCCATCAACCTTTGAAGCAACAGGACCTTTCGAACCTGAATCTGTGTGCTAGATTCAGCACCAGTCTGAAACTCAGAAACAGGATTCAGGTAGGACAATCCCATCTTTGATAAACTGTCAACAAGCTCAGCAATGCCTGGTGCAGTGGATGTAGCTTTAGATGCCAAGTTAATTGACATATTTGAGATTGCTTCGCGGAAAGGCTCCGGCACAGATCTCAAGATTTCAGAAACACCAGTGTTCAAGTTTTGTATAGGATGCAGGACTCGAGGTGATCTCATGGCGTAGAACTTCCACTTGATCTAGCATAAGATCTACCACTCGTTTCAGTGTTCAACTCACAGTTATCCTCAAGGGATTCAGGGACTGCCTCATCACATCGCACAGATCTTCTTCATCAGCAAGGGTTACCATATCACCATCTTCATCAATATATGTAAGTGTTAGATCACTATCAGGAGTAAAATTGAAGAAACCAAGGACCTTCTCTCTCAATCTATCCATGTCCAAATCAAGTTCTCCATCAACAATGCGGGCATTGAAGCGCCTAAGTGTTTCTCCA